CCTGGGCTGAAATTTCATTAATACCAAGGAATCACTAACTGTGGAGATAGTTTTAAGTTGTTATAAATGCAGCCTATCACTTCAAATTTGTTTTGTGGGTATAAATAAATACACGAGGAAGTAATAGTTCTTGCAGTTAGTTATATGGGCCTTGAGCTTTCCTTGACCTTTGTGCCTCATCCAAAAGCTTCTAATCCTGCTGTTTCAATTTTGACTCCAGGACAACTGTCTGTATGCACTTATCCTTCAGCTGGATACACCGCTGAAGAAGAAACTCTGACTGATGGCAGATTCAGGTAAACTCATTAAAACCAGCTGCAAGCATCCTGCATGTTTGTTTTTAATGATTAGAAGAAAATATTACTCAACTTCAAAGACACATCACAATTACCTGCATTTCTCAACTCTATCTACAAACTAATTATTTGGTGCTCCAAGCAATTAGTTTGTGTTACTCTGCAGTAAAGGCAAAACGAGTTCATTACTTCTAACAATTTCCCCCTTTGACAGGAAGCTTTTTTTTTTTATTATTATTTTTATTTCTTTTTAGAAGTACGCAGCGATGCTTGGTTTTGGAAGGTTTTGTTATTCCTGAGTAATTAATATGAATTTTGACACGTTCCCATTTAAGGGGATTAATTAAATTGATTTGAAAGGTTGATGAGATGCAACTCCCCATTTCTTACGCTGTTCTATTTATGAAGGTTGCTTTTTGATTTTACCTCTAACTTCCCTTGAAATTTGGCCCAACTCCATTAAAAAAAGGGGAACAGCTGGCCCAGTTTTTACATCTCTTAGTATTTAGAGTATTCTTACTATTCAAATATAACAAGGTGCCTGTTAACCACAACTGATGAAAGTTTCAACCTGAAGAACTCATTTCCAATCGCTGTTCATAATGGAAGGTACTTCTTTTGTTTGTTTGTTTTGGATGGGAGGGGTTACAGGGATATCCTTCTTTAAGTTCTCCCACACTGTTCCTGAAAATACAGTTGCTGCACCCCAAGGTAGATCAATATTAACAGAATCGTATCTGTATTAGATAGAGATACTCCAAAGTAAGACCTAGACTTGAGTCAAGAATTAGCATTCACTTCTAATGGAAGAGTAATAGTCTAATACCTGAATTAACAAGCCCTTGACTGTTTAAAACAGCTAAGTCCCCAACATAGGAAAAGGATCAGCTCCACAGTACCTCTAAGAACAACTCCTCAGTCTGATAGCAGTTCCTGCACATTCCAGCTCAACTACTTAATCTCAAGTATCAACATTTCCCCTTTTCCCATCACCCACGTTATTCAATCATTCCCAGATATTCTTCAATTCACTGCCTCTTGTAGCTATGGGGATTTTGCCATTGCATTTCAAGCACTCTCCATGTTTAATGCTATGTGCAGCAATTTTGCTACCTTTGCTACCTGTTAACACCGCAAATCTAGATTCCACGTTTGTGTTCAAAATTATTTCATTATGGAAAATATTCATGTTTGTGGTATCTCTGTTAACTGTTCATTTCTAAACTTGCTTTCCTTCCACACACAGTGCCAGTGGATAGGACTGGGACTCGCCTGAACTGTGAACTAACACATCCATCTCAAACACCCTGCACATCTATGGATCACATCAACAACTATCATAGCTCAGATCCTCAGACACTGAGTACAATATCAACACCAACTCAACCCTTAAGTGTATGGTACATTAGCCTGTAGGTCTGCATAGAAAGACTCAGAAATTACATGCTTCCAATTCCAAGGAAAACGCAGGCTAGAACAAATAAACCTTTTAAACGCTGTAATTAAATTCTCAGTTAAAACCCCTTGCCAGGAGGCAAGCGAATAAGCATCGCTCAGCCCAAGGGGCTTTCTCCAACATATCATGTTGCTTTCCACAGTTTTATTGCAATAGCTGTACTCTTCAGAGTCCATTTCTATATTCATGCATAATTTAAACCTTTTTCAGCTCACTTGACCTCTTTTGCAGATGGATATAGGTAACTATGATCTAACCAAGCTGCTGTAAGAGCTATGGGATTATGGACCTTTATATGCACTATTTCCAACAAAAGGCCCAGTAACTCCTCTGACTGGCAAGAACCTGGTATCATCTCAGCTTATATACTCTACATAGACACATTTTGCAGTTTACATGGACATATAAAACAGACCATAGGAAAACAAAGAGGTGAGAGAAGAATAAAGGACATATTATCTTAGCATCATTTTGGGGAGGGAAAAAATAAAAGTAACAGGAAAAGCTTGGAACAAAATTCCTTGTCAGAAACATATCAATTATACTTCCCTTGTTACTTCCTAGAGCACGCATTAGTAAAGCAGTGATGCACATTTGGGACGCTGTACTGTCCTATCCCAACTTCATTTTTGTCTCCAACTTCGCTTAAAAAGCAACGCCCTTCCAATTTATTAATGCTATGAACACATTTAAGAGCTATGATCCACAATCAGCCATGTCACTTTGAACTGCTTTCAACTGTAAAATGGTTGTCATACCTCAGTTTCAGCTTTTATACACTTCAGCACGTGTTTTGTTCTCTGTTATCAGTGCCATCTTTGTCCTTCTTCCAAAACTTGATTTGAACATTATTCCTGCCCCACCAGAACCTTCTTCAAGCAACGCTGCAAGTTAGCAGCTTTCTTAAAAGCAAGACTGCAGATGTATCCTCACGTATCCTGTCTTTACTCAAAATGAACTGAAAACTGTAGGATTAGCTCTCTAACAGCACAAGGTTTATATCAATCTCCACACTTAGGAACAACATCCCTGAATTGCAGTGTGTTCCACCTTGTCCATGTTTTCCTTTCCTCATAGCAAGAGCCCCCCCCGCTGTTGGAACATATGAAGACCACTGAGACATCCCCCAGGACAGTTACAGGACAGTTGCCCCAGGCTGACTAAGTAGAATTGAAAAAGAGGGCTTGTGTTCATCTGCCACGAAACCTTCCCATCCTGCCAACAAGTTCCCACAGCACACAACAGTTATGCACACAACGCCTACCCGTTACCACCTACCATTTTCATTAAACCCAATTTTCCTCACAACTAGAAGGTTTCTGTTGTGTTACTGGTGACATGCTGATGGACCTGAAATAGCATCACTAATTTGAGAACATGTACGGAGGCCACACAGGCATTAGGAGAGGCTAAGAAAGCAAGAGCATGTCATTGCACAGAACATCTAATGCTTCATGTCCACTTCAGCCCCTTAAACACTGTTAGATGTTCCCAACACTATAGCACATGGTTCTGTATTCCAATGAAAATAATCTGCTATGTTGCTAACTGTTTAAGATGTGACAATTTCAGTCACAGCTAATTTGGATTATCTGCTTTCATTAATTTTCCCCTCTAATGACTCCATAGAGATTTAATTTAAGCCACCATCCACTGCATTTACATGAATAGAGATTATGACTTCAGTGCAACCGCACTAAAGAAAAAGTACCAGCAAAACAGCTAAATAACAGATTACCTTCAATGTTTCTGTAAGCACTACTGCTTGGATCATTCAAGGGAAACATTCCAAATCCTGAAGCTCCACTTGTCAAGATAAAGGAGATGCCAGACAACATCTTGAGGAGGGACAGGCTAAAAACTTGAAGAAAACAGACAATTAAATGCTTAACACACATTGTTCCGTCTTGCCTCTTAGATATTCCCATTCTTCTAACTCTAACTTTGTTCCTCAACTCTAAATTTAAACTGACTATCCTGCATCTCTATGAATTAGACAGAATTAGCTTGAGCCCCTGAAAGTTGCATTTTATCTCAGAAGACTCCAAGGAGAGATCAGCATTTCTTTTTCTCTCGCATTCGTATTTCTTCACTCAGATTTGGTAAACTCAGTTGCAGGAAAAGGATGAGGTGCAGTTCTCACTTCTGCAATAAAAACAAGTCCACAATGCTGATCTCTGCTACCAGTAATTCATGCTGTCCTGATTACACATATAAAAAATAGTTGTAGAATGGCAGTTCAAGAAAGAAAACTCAAAGTTCAAGACAAGCTGAAAATTGTGAATTCAAATTTAAAAGCAAAAATTAGATCACAAAATAACACGCAGCATCTCATATTTTTAATGAGACTCGCTATTTTATAAGGGAGATTAAGGTTGAGGAACCTGGAAGCAGTCCTTCAAAGCAGCAACATCTTCAAGAAACATTTAAATGCTGTACTGAGGGACATGGTTTAGTGGTAAATCCTGGTTACAGATGGTTGGTCTGGATGACCTTCAACATCTTTTACAATTTGGTGATTATAAACAAACACAACGGACAAAACAACCAGTGATTTTCTGCTCCAATGCAAGGCTAAGCTTCAAAGTCAGTGAAAACCAGCAGCTTGTTCCTCTCACACAGGCTTCTTTCAGGAAAGCTGGGAACCAAGACAAGTCAAAACAGCCCCTTGACCAAATTCACGCTCCTTGTGACCTACACATGGGAGCAAAGGGATCATGCCCTAGCGTCTTCTTCCATTTGTTCCACTTGCTGACAAGAGAGAAGAAATGCAGCAACTTAACAAAGAAGTTTTTAAGAGTACCGAAACAGACATCACATAGCAATTTTAATGGAGTTACTCAAAAAATACTGCATCTGCTAAACTGTAACAGAAATCCCCAGAATAATCTTTTATGTTGACTGTGTTCATTCATATGGTCTCACCACATACTTGTACTCAAGGCTTAACACAGGCTATTAAAGAAAAAGAATTGAGCACTAAATAAATGAATTCAGTATTTCAGAAATTGAATTTTCTTCTGAAACAGTGCTTAATCCACAGAACATTTTAAAACTGAATAAAATTGCACAGCCACTGAGACAAGGTTAACATTTTCATAAAGCATTTAGCAGTATAGTAAATGAAGTGACCAAGGTTTCTCTCAACAGAAAGAAAACGTGTGGGGAGCAATGATAGCCACAACACCCAGCGTCACATTTCATTTCCTGAAGAATGAATAACGGGGATGTTTTCCTAGATATTTATCAAAGCAAAGCCTGCAGTGACCTGTAAGAATAAAGGCTCATATTTATCAAATGCCAACTGCTCGGTAACTCATTCTGACTTTCAAGAACTATGAATTCAGGGACACAGGGCAAAAGAAGAATTTCAGGGCTGTAGCTGTGCGTCTCTGTAATTACTAACAACTGTGAAACCATTGGTTTGATGGCTGTAAATAATACACATCCCCTAGTGCACGAATTCATACCTCATTGAGTTTGTTGTGCTGCATGATTTAAAGCTCCTGTGCAAAGAAAAAAAAAAAAAACACTGCTATTTTGCAAGTACAATAGGAAATAGAGAGTTAGGACATAAAGAGTAGAAAGGGGAAAGTAGAAACTGGATAAGTTCTGGCTCACAATAACGAATCTGTTCATGCTCTTGTGCATGCAGTTCCAGTGAAAGCAACAGAAGCTGAACAGAAAAAGTTTCAGCAGAAATTTGAAAAACTCATTTCACTTTCAGTGTTAGATCTAGCATGCATAGCATTTAGAATAACTAAAATAAATCTACGTGGGAGGGGAGAAAGGCTCCACAGGTTGATTTTTTTCATAATTCTATCAAACAAGGGCAATCATTTAAGTAGAAAATCTTTAAGACTCATGAACTGCACAGAAGTTAACCATACCAGACCTAAGCAATTTCCAACCAGATAAAAATATTTTTGGGCTGTTTATCGGGTAATTTCTAGTGATGCATTACAACTGATCTCTGTAAAAACTCCTGCTTAAGAATTTAGCCAATATTTTATATGTCTTCCCCAAAAAGCAAAGCCTCAGGACAAATATTTCAACTTCTGCAGATTTTTACAAGGAACTTATTACTGTTCTTTCTATTATACCAGCTAGAAAGTCCTTTGGTTGCCCTAATTTTAAAAGTAAATATGAAACCACGTGAGCACAATTATGTGCATGGATACTTACACTGAAATACACATCTACTTATCTCTACACACATCTAGAAGAAACCCACAGCTGTCTTACATGCACATCAATGTATTTTATTGCAGTCAATTGATGTTTGGCTTCTGGGTTTTACTGCTATTTAAAATAAATGTACTGTGAAGAAGTTAGTGGGTTGTTTTTTTTTTTTTCAGGAAGCCAGATAAAACTTCCCAGATGTCATCATTTCCTCAGTGTAGGGTTTGCTCCTCTCACAATCTGACATGCAACTTGTAAAAGAAAAGTAATCTAGATCAATTGTCATACCCAATTACCTGACAACTGCAGTTACACAAAGCAGTATTAAGGACATTCCTGTGCGAGGCTACCAGAGATGTTCAAGCTGTACTACTGCCGTTCCATTTCACAGTTTGCTATAGGAAGCAACGATACCTGTATTATTAACCCACTGATATGAACATCAATTACTCTCACTTTAAAGAGCTCATCTCACATGGTTACAGGAGCTTCATGAAAACTACTGGGAACAGACAAGCTCCATGAAATAACACTATTGATAAACCTTACAGATTTGGAAGAGAAGTTCACATTCAGTAACACCCATTTTAGTAGGCTGGTAGGCAATTTGCAGAAGTAGGAACATCAGATAAATTTCCTTATTGCAAAGCAGAAGTCACTTAATTCTACATAATCAGAGCAATCTAACATTTCCTGAACTTGCTATGAAGAGACAATACTAAGCTTCCTTCTACTAAGCTTCCTTCACAGCAGGAGAAGCCTGAGGACATTTGAGCAAACTCCCAGAATTAGGGGAGAGGGAAAGGAGATTGCTTGGTTTGTAAGGTGTCTTCCTGTGTGTGTTTCTTTTTTCTTAATGAGTCACTCATCTGCACCAACAGCCACTGAAAACCACAACACAAATGTCAATTGCCTTAACTGAACAGTTTCCATCTTTCTTTTTGGTCTTCTTTTGAGACAGGTTTTAACGAATAAAAGCACAGCCTGGTACCTCTGATACTGATGTTTTTAAAAATGAAAAGAATACTCAAAAGAATAGCATGGCTTTCATCCTCAATAAATATTCTTCCTATCAAGCCCTAGAAATTAAGATCACAAATCCATTACACGTACATCACACCTAGACATGCTCAGGAGTCTCACTTTTTCAACTTGAGGAGTGGCATTCACAGCAAACAGACGATGGAAGCATCTCTATTGCAAGAGCAGCTAACTGAAAATAAGCTGTCAGGTTAGTATTTCCTTCTCAGCACATCCACACTACACTACCATCACCTCTCAGATTCAGCATAGAAAAGATAGGCCCAGATCTCGTTTGCTGTGTCCAGCAGCCCCTTCTAGCATGGTCCTGCTGCCGTGCTTCCACCTCACCGCCCCCAGTCCCTCAGACTTGGAGCCAGCAGCCACACCGCATTCTTAAGGGCTGGAGGACCCTGCAGCAACTTACAGCAGGACCAGGTTGCAAATGAAGCCACATGCACACACGTCCTGCTCAGAAGCTCTTTTGCCACTGATGCTCTCTATAAGCACATAAACATGAAGCTGTCAGCAAACCCTTCCACCGTAATACACCCACAGTCATCCAATGCAGGACTTCACTGATGGGCAATTCTTGCATTACAGACACACTGCACTGCAGGCAGTACAGCAGCTGCAAGAAACTGCTTTGTTAGCACAATCTCTATGCACTCTATTCAACAGGAAGGAAGACTCAACTGCCAGAACCTCTACTTTATAACCTCTCTTTATACAAAGAAGGTAATAGGAGGATAGAGCTGTATCACCTCAAAGCTTTCATTTATACATTGGGCAAGCAGTGACAGCAAGAGACAAAATGACAGTCTTTCTAAAAGCACTTTCAGTATAAACACTGCTGCTTTCATCTTCCTAGCTTACGACAACTTACTGCATTAGGAAATCCAAGCTTGAAAATTAAGAGCAACCACACTCAACTAGTAATTGTACAATTGCCAGATGCATTTCTTTCCTCAAACAGAGTATTTCAAGCAATTAAATTCAGTGCACCCTTAATAAGCAGCAAACGTGTCGTGAAGAGAGAAGTGCTAACATTTTCAAACAAATCTGATGACATGAGAGAATTTGATTCTATTTGTTGCTGGTGAGAAGAACATGCTCTTGGTGCAATTGATTTCACACATAAAAGGCAGCGGTTTCAAATAAGAATACTGCTATTTTTGGTCAGTGAGTAGAAAACCATTTCTGAAGCTGATAGCAGCTCTGTCCATTAATTACAAGCTAAAGATCAAGAATGTCAAAACCTTGCGAAATCTCCAGACACAAACTGTAATGACTCCCTACTGCCTCAGGAGAGTTCAGAAGGACTGTTCCCTCTTTTCCTGGTTTATCTTTCCGTGTCCCTGAGTAGCAAAGATTATCAGCACAAATATTTCATGAAATAAGACCACGGTGAACACAGACAGGAGATTCATCTCTCACATTCCGTACAGCAGACTTAAGCTGGTAAATAACTGTTCTGTTAAGTACTTCCATGCATTACAGCCAGGTGAGAAGCAGGGAACAACATTCACAACACAATTCCTAAGGCATCCATCCATGCCTGCCATCTTCATTTTCCACAAGCACATCAGGCACTTAGGAACACCATAAAAGCCTTCTGTGAATTTGTGTAGCAAATATATTAAGGACAGACAAAATGAAACGCAGAAATATTATGCCATAAATGGGCTGAAACACGATAGGGAAGAGTTGAAATGGGCTTCGCTGTGAGTTAATAATCACAGAAACATAACCTGGGCATTGCTGTCCCAAAAGAAGGTGACTATATTAAGTTGCTGTTCAAGCCAATCAATACATCTGACCATCTGGTGCAGAATTTGCGGCAGAAATTCACAGAAATTGTTCAGCATAACGGATTCATTTCACTGAAGTATTAGTTGTAATAGGTTGGCATAGCAATAACTTGCCATTTTCATCTATGCCATCAAGTTCTGACTATCCTGGAAAACTTAAGTGGTATCTGATGCAGCATTAGTGCTTCCTGGAAAGGAACTGCGCAAGCAACACCAGGTGATTTTGAATTTGTCATCCATGACTTGGAGGTAAGGCCTGCAATTTACTTGGATTGTGATCAAATTCAGAAATCAAAACAGCATAAGATGTTAGAACAACTTTTTAGTAGCCATGCTATCATTTTTTCTATCTTCTCCTCTCCCTCCCACATTGAACAGGGCACTTAAAAAAACAAACCAGAAAATATACTTCAGGATGCTTCTATCTTTACTTTCCTTACAAAAGCATCGTACTGACTTTTTGACACTATGAGAAAATAAACAGGGGGAACTGAAGATAAAATAAAAAACGAGTTTCTGGAAAGAGGTGCTAACCAACATAAACGACATCTTTTAGAACAAGTTGCAGAAAAAAAAAAGAGTAAGTTACCCCTCCCCCACAGGGTTTGTTTGGGAGATGGGGAAATCATTTCCAGGTTTGCCTTCATTTTGAATTCCCTCCCTGATTTTAAAGTGATGCCCTGGCTTCTTCAGTTATTTCTAAGGCGCTGGGACTTCTGGCCACCTGAACAAGTAACTTGAGCCTACAAGCATTTAGTAACAAGGTGAATTCCCTTTCTTACAGACCACAAAATAGGCGTACCTTCTAAAGAGACCTAATATTCACAGCCACAAACCAGGTCACAGCTACTACCTTCTAAGTTTAACTGACACCTCTTGATTCTTTTGTACAGTGGAAGAAGCGACCCTACTTACAAGTCAATAGGCATCTCTCCACTAGGTGAGAGAAGTAAGCAGCAGTGAGCTACCAAAAGGTCAAACAGCTCACGTGTCTTAGACGTAGAGGTCTACGTCTATAGAGGTATATAGTGCGGAAATATAGAGGTATATAGAGGCTCTATAGAGGTATATGGTGCGGAAATCAAATGTTGTTTCTGCATTAGAATAGGATAATACTATTTTTATTTCATGATCTCAGCTATCATAGTTCTTTTTGGGAGTCCTACTTAACTTGGGGAAGATCTCTGATAAGTTTACATCACTTATCCTCCAGACGAACCTTCCTAGGAACGCACACTCTGTGCATAGATGTATATTTTGTCATACACACTGCAAGAATATCCTGCACGAGAGCAAACCAGAGAACAAGTGATGGCCTGCCCGAGGAAGCGCCTGAAGAGACATTGGAAGGCCTGGCATCATCCCCCAGTGCTCTTTGTTAAACGACGACTTGAAAGAAAATCACCATATCAATACAAGAGAGCACCGAGACTTCTTGGAAACAACAGGATGGCTGCTGACTGACACCAGATAACAAATAAATAAACAAGTAAATAGCAAATGTAAACCTTCTGTAAGATTGTGAACCTGGAGTACGCAGCCAGTGGGGAACAGAGGAGGGGGGAGGCAAGGGGAAGAAAACGGGGTCTAAAGGCTGTCATGATGCGTCCATAGGCGCGCTCCTGCTTGCGGGACGCCCGCCATTGCAATCGCGAATAAAATCTGCTTTTATCAGAGATACCGTCCTGACAAAATTACTTGGATTATTTCCAACTATTTGGGGGCTCGTCCGGGATTATTATCGCCTCTTTGAGAGTTTCCCTACTGCCCTGCACAGGATAGGTGCACCCCGCTGATTTCAGCGGTTCTGTCTGGGCGGTGAGGTGACTCCTTGGGACGGCTGATAAGAAAGGGTTCTGCGAAAGCCAAGGGGCAGGCAGGCACTGGTGGTGGCCATTGCGACCCCGGTAACTTCGTGCATGGACCAAAATAAGGGAATTTAACTCTTTCCTTGGGGTCGGTTGAGACTCTTGAGTGTGTGTGACTGAGACGCACTGTCAGTGCAAAGCGAGTGCCGAGTCCTAACCTGCGGCTCCGCTGTACCAAGAGGGGCACAGCCAGGGACAGACCGAGTGGCTGCTGGTGGAAGGAAGAGAAACTGAGATATGATGTTAGTAATGGCTGTGATAATGAAAGTTTGGAAAGTGAAAAAGGGCTTGGTAAAAACAAGCTGAGGAAGGCACAGTTGAGCAAGGTGTAACAGAAATGTCCCTTACCAAGAAGAAGAGGTAAGGGGAAGCCTGGGAGGGCTCAGGTAGAGTTCCACCCCCCACAGGACCGAAAGCAAAAGAGGAAGCAGGGTAAAGAGGTTTATTTTCTGGTACCTCTGGGTGCCTCTTACTCTGTGCTACACCAAGAATTATTACCCGTAAATGATTTTTGTAATAGTTGTTGGAGCTACTGGCAAGAGAAGTTCACTTTTTTTTGGGGGGGTACCAATTAAATACAGGCCAGGTTCTCCAAAACCATTATTTGGGCACGACATGTTAGAATAGTTGAATGTAGAGATTAAAGTCAGTAGAGAAAATTGGAGCTACTTGTCATGCAAGACCAATGGACTGAAAATTTTAAGTCTGGCTTTAACACAAACTGGGAAAAGCAATGTTGTACTCCCAGAAGTTACGTAAATCCTACATTGGGTATACACAGGATTGCAGGCATCAGGGATGCTTGACAGAGCCAAAAATGCAGCCCAATGAAAGTTAAAGATGGGAGCCAGCCCAACCAGGGTAAAGCAATGCCCTTTGAGGATACAAGATTGTAGGAGGATAAAAGAAATAAAAGTAACTTCTTGGATTTTGGATTATTAATTGGATGGAAATCCAAATACAGCACCCCAATCTTGCAAATGAAAAATTGGACGGCAAGAGCTATAGCTTGGTACAAGATTTGAAGGCAATGAATAGAAATGTTGAATATATAAAACCCATGGTGTATATCTTTATTAACCAAGTTAAGGAATAAACAGGTGGGGTTTACCGTTCTGGATTTTAAGTACCCCTTTTTCTGCCTGGATTTGCAAAAGAAAGTCTAAAATTATTTGCCTTTGAATAGGAAAACTCAAATACGGAGAGAAGAAAAAAATAATAATTAAAAATAATAATAATTCAGTTAACCTGCACAGTGATACCCAGGGTTGTGAGAACAGCCCAATGATTTTTGAGAACTGGTCAACTCGTGAGCCTGAGATTTGGGTTCACCATCTCACAGTGGAACTTCACTGCAGTACGTGGATGCTACAGTAACAAAGGACTGGGAGCTTGCTGAATTTCTTGATTTAAATGGCTATCAAGTTTCTCAACATAAAGCACAACTGATCAAAGAGAAGGAAGCAATTTGCTGAACACCCAGAACACCAAGGCAGAGCTGCCTCCAAGCCAGCAGTGTGTGACTGCATGGAGACTGTCTGTGCCAGCTGGTCAGACCTACAGGAGGAACCGTTGGACGATGCTGAGGAGTCCTGCATTCATCGAAGGAAGCAGTTTTGTGAAGACAAGGAAACCGTAAGGCAGGACATGCAGTAACTGCTATTGACAAGGTAACTGAAGCAAAACCATTGCCTGGGGGGACTTCCACTCAGAAGGCTGAAATAGCTGCCTTGACAACCTTAAATACATGGATGGATGCTAAATATGCTTTTGGGGTACTACCCGGTGCCATCTGGAAAGAGCAAGGATTGCTTACACACAAGGAAAACAAATTCAGCATGATGTAAATCTACCAAAGAACATCATGACTGTTATACACTGTAAAGGACATCAGGAGAGTGACTCTACACAGGAAACTGGGAATATGATGGTGGATCAGGTGGTAAAACAGGCAACTCATTTTATTGCAGAGATTGTCCAACAGGTCAGCAAGCATTGGGAATAAATTGGCAATTGCACATCACACACAGATCACAGGCAAGTGGTCAGGAGGAAAAGATGAACTATCTAATTAAATCACAGGGTGTAAAACTGGGCCAGAAAGCTGGACTATCCTGATCACAGTTGTTGCCTTTGGCTCTTAGTACCAGAACAAAACCTAGAGCCAAAGAGGGGATAAGTCCTTTCAAAATACTGTACAAAAGGCCTTATGTTGTACAGATGGATCTCTACCCAAGTAGGCAGCGAAATACTAACTAAGGTTAAAGGTGAAGACAGACTACTTTTGATCAACTCTATGCAGAGAAACATCAGGAAAAAAATATGCTCAGTCTGTAGTTATTGCATCCTGTTTTTACCCACAACAGTCAGCACAAAAACAATGACGCTATGAGTTTCTAAAACCCTTTATAAATTAAAGAGCAACACTTAAATTATAAACAAGATCTACATGACTAAAGCAGTTGACAAGTGTAAAGACTTCCAACTACCTTTGTGGTTGTTTGCTGCTCTTCGAAGGGACAAAGCTTTCTCTGTTCTATAAAGCCACAAGTGCCTGACACTTGAACGAGTAGCTCAGGGAGTAACTAGTGATCACTGTTACTGTAATAAGATTTCACTGTCCTACAGCAAATTTCAGTTTATCATGTCATTTCTAATCAACAGTCCTTCTCTGAAAGATACATGATCTGCTTTTGTTATCTGAATAGGCTACATGAATGTGAAAAACCCACAAGAGTTCAAGGAGAGGTTAACCTGATTGACAGAAGAAAAACACTCCAGGGAGATGCACTCTACTTGCACTACTCAACTTTGCCTCAGTAATTCCCTGAGCTAGTCTGTTGCATTTTGTGCAAGTACCAGGACATGATCCTACACTTACTTACACTTTGCTCAGTGGCTGACTTCAGCTGCAGTCTAAGACGAATATCATTTCTGGCAGTCTGGAGCTGACCCAATAGGTTGCTCTGGTTCTCGTTAGCATCATACTAATAAGTCTTTGTCAGCTTATGCATATATGATTACCTCACAGAAACCAGGTTAGAATGTATTTCATTCAGATACAAGTTACAATCCTTCTTGAGAGTACATTAACTCCAATGCAATGCCCACTTCCAGCTTACCATGCAGTAAAAGCCAACCCACTCCAATCACTTACTCAAAAAAAAAAATACTACATAAAACTGAAGATGCATTAACAAACACCCTGATCTGCGCATTAACAAGGTGCAGCTCTTCATCTCCCTTGTGCAAGTACCCACTAAAAAAAAAATAAATCAGCTAGAAACCAACACTAAAATGTTGAGAACTGCTTCCAACCTCTCCCACCTGCATCTCATTAGGGAGCACACCCGAACTCCTCCTAAACCAGTACACACCTTCCTACATAAAGTCTCTATAATTTACCATTCCAACAAACATTCCACACCTTGTCACTTACCAGTGTTCAATAGTAGGTATTTCCTCTATTTTACATCTGCCAAGTTCTTTAAGAGGAATTTAAGCCAGAAGATTCACATACAGATATAACTCAAATGGCTAACTGCAAACTGTTAATGGTGGGCAGACTTGTGGTTCAGAGAACTTGCAAGATCTCCGATAGAAGTCCTTTTATACCCCAAATACATTTTCTCAAAACGAAACAATGAAAGATCAAGCTTTCTGGTTCTACACAGCTGATTGTTCCATACAAATTGAAAGCATTAAAAAAGCCTTTTTTTCAAGCTCTTTTTAGAAAACAAAAATCATTTCAGGTTAAGAAGAAAATGCTCTTCAGTGTTCTAAATTACTAAAACCGTAAAGAAGTAAAAAAAAAACAAATTAAAAAAGCGATTTTCTTTATTATCAGTGAATGAGGAGACCCAGAGCTTTTCCTTGGCTGGCTGATTGTTTTAGTCTCCCACCACAACAAAACACACACAACATTCTTCAGGCAAGTACTTATCAAGTACTAACATAGAAAAAACAACCGCCTCAGGTCTGTTTTAGTACAAGCAGTATCATTGACTTGCACAAACTTGGGATAAACACACACCACACAAGTCCCTGAGGCGCCTGGACAAGGAGCTACCAGATATGGTTTAGTAGCTTGTGGCACTGATAGGAATGGGAGGGTGGTTGGACTAGATGATCTTGCAGATCGTTCCCAACCTTGTGATTCTGTGAAGTACTATTAAAACAGGTTTTACCTCAGCTGAGTAGCCTAGGCAATACATTCTAGACATACCCAATAAAGAGCAATATAACCTTCATACCTATGCAATAACACAACCTCAAAACCTCCACAATTATATCACACAAAAACAGTAGCTGTATTATAAGTCTTTTAGAATCAACTCACATACTTTAATTATTATTATTATTACTTTAAAGAACCGTTTCGTCATTTCAAAAACACAGAGATGCATACCTATGTTTTTCAATTCCCTGTTCCTAAGCCTACAATCAGTGAACATTCAGATGCTACAGTACAACAAAGAGCTTGGCTACGTAGCTGTTACACCAAAGCAGAAAACAGAAAAAACAGAGACACTCACCCATACCGTAGGCCCGCTTAGGAAACCCTGGTGGAGAGGAGCTCCAAAAGAGATCCTTCCCCACTGCTGGTCAACCCTTAAATGGCTCTAGGAGAGGTGGAGCCAGGCTGCACCCCTTCTGGCAGCACAGTTAATGGCCTCCACCTGTGCTCCCGTGGCTGACTCGCTGCTCGCCTCAGGTGATCAATCAGAGGTTCAGGCCGTGATTCAGCAGTTCTCATCCACTAAGGGACTGCCTGCAGTAGGAGAGTTAAAACAACTCTATTACCAAAAATAATAATAAACATTAAAAATAATTTAAAAGTTACCAAGTGACTCAGACAGACTCAAAAATCTCCCAATGTACCACTAACTAGCATTCATTTTTAACAGAGTTTACTTACTGCAAAGCACAAAAAGGAGATACTTTGAGACAGCTCTCTCCACAACTCTTGCTGCTGCCAACTCCCTTTGTTCATGAGCAGGTGTTTCCCCTTTAAACGTGATTCCTTATTAGCTATGCCTTGATTGCTTCAATCTAAGCTTTGCTTTTTTTTTTTTTTTTTTTTTTTCTTTCTTCTTCTTCCAAACCACTTCCTATCTTTTCAAATTTCAGCCCTGTAGTGACTAAAATGAAACAGAATGAGGAGAAAGGTACAGCAAACACAGTCTGAACAAGAACCAAAGACAGAGTATCAGGAATCTGAGAAAGAGTCTCCACTGGAACAGTAAAGATCAGGCACTTCAAAACTGTTTCTAGAAATTTGTTATTGTGTATGCATATCAGACTGTTATTCTGAAATATGAAATATTTGTATCATTTTGATATGTTGCCTTATCAGATTAAGTACCAAATAGCAAAAACAAAAACATATTTTTCCTGATTTCCATTAGTCATGATTAGAAAAGGCAAACATATAATGAAACAAAGGAAAACTTGCCTTCCAACACACAGGTGTGGGGTAAGCACACATTGGCAACCCCCCCAAGAAGCCCAGTAGGCAGCCACCTCCTACACAGGGCTATCACTGACACCTGGGGGAGGCACTCATGCAAGCCAGAACTCACAGGATGCAAGGCAGGCAGTTGGGGACAGCTGTTACTACTTTAGAAGAACACTCCCACTGGCAAATGAAATGGGAATTCATCTCCAGTTCTTAACCTATTGCTAAAAACGAACAAAGTAACTGGCGTGTCTTAAGTAATACGTGCCTGAATAACCACCCTCCCAAATAATGACTTTTTAAAGGCTTGTCATTTGATAGAAATACTAATTGTCCAGCAAGATAAACCTGGACCGTTCCCCCTGTTCTTTGAGAGGAAACAAGCTCCTCTGCAAGCACCAGCAGCAGTCCTCAGCTCTTTTCTCACCTTAAAATTAAGTGTTACGTGCTAAAACTTCTTTAAAAAAAAAATGTATTGCCTGGATAATATTTGGATAGCGTTGCTTTTTAAATAATAAACTGTCACACATCCATACCAAGATGACAACATCCAGCAGCAACATTCAGCCTACCTCAGGAACAAACACTGCAGAACAATTCAATACCAAATGAGCTTTGAAACTCATGTCAAATTCTTAATTTTTATGTGAACCAAACCATTTCTGTCAATTGGTGGTCAACAAGTCCTCACAGTTACTTTCTCTACAAGCTCATTATTCCTTTAGACAACTAATAAATATCAATATAGCATACACCTTGTTACTGGCCCTTGAAGGCAGATTGCAGCGTCACTTGCCCTTCCTCCTCAATGGATGACCTGGCAAAATATGGGTTTGTGGATTGCTGCCACTTACGACAGCTCCTGCTCTTTTCCTAAGAATCAGGGAGTCCCAAGGAGCAAGTTAGACACCTCAGCTGCCAGTAATGGCTTCTGAAGCTCCGATTCTCAACACCAAGAGGAAGGAGGCTGTGCAGCCACCAGCTACCTCTGCTTTTCTGTGCCTTTGACATGAGGCTTTCAGCTGGGCCACACTTCACAGCCTCTTTCCATACAGATCCTCCTTAGGTACAAGAGCAGACATACAACCAAAGGGCTGAGTGTCTAGTGCATTTACATTATTTACACTAAACGAGAGGAACTTCACTGTGCTGTGGCTGCCCTCCCTCTTCACTCAAAACAGCTCCCACAAGTCCCTCATAGGGACATCGATAGGTCCTCCGAGACACCAAGCCACACAAATCTCCCACCACGGTCCTTCCTAGCATGTTTTCCTCTCATACTACGCTGAGCTGATGTCTGTTTATACAGCAGTACTATGTATCTAGATTGCTACCCCACCTTCCTTATTTGAACCTGCTGCAGATTATTCTTATCTCTCTTTGGGCTCTGCTCCAAAGCACATTCAAATCAAGGCTTCTAGTTTCCTCTTGTTCCTTCAATTGTAATTAATTATGCTCCTTTTCTCCTTTGAAGTCTAGGCAAAGAAGTCTATTCAGTTCAACAGAGGTTTGCTCTGCCCTCTTATTTGAAGTGTTCCACCTCATAGTATGTTCAAAACCAGTCACCCACAGGGACAGGAATGCATCTAAATTGAAAGTAATAAAAATGCAATTATTATGGCTTTATTAATTAAAGAAATAGGATTGTATTTTTTTCTAGTGTCAGTGAAATTCAAAACAGAAATGAAAATAGTAAATAATATGGAAATGTCTTGGGTCTAAAATAGAAAGAACATCTACATTAAACAGATCTGAATCATTTCTCCCAAACAGTGGATAAATAATCAGATACACTTTGAAATTTAAAAACATAGCCAGCACTCCAAAATGAAGCTAAGTGAATTCCAGTGAGTGAAATATGTGGAGATTTATTTATTTTCATCTTATAAGCATGCAAAGTGTTACAGTTATACTTTTCTCTTGGTGTTTTAAAACATTTCCACTGAAAGGAGCATTTCCAGTGGCCCATCTGTCAGCACGCAGAAATTTACGCAACGTGCCTTGTAGGGTTATTCTTTTCACATTGCAAACCTAAATTTACTATTCACTTCAACATACTTGCTCCTGATCGCACTCTGATGATGTGCCCTCAATCCAGCTCGTGACACCGCTAAGATAAATGTGTGCAATGAGAATAAGGGCAGAACACATACATACACTGCTTAGCTCAAAGAAATGCAATCAGACCCTTACGGTATTAGCTGATCTATTCTAGACAACATCACGAGGCAATTAAAGTCCCTATGTATTGCCTGATGGAGATGAATTAAGCTAAGTTCCAGAAGGCAATCATCTGAACCTGGAGATGTTGATTAATTAGCCAGCAATAATTAATAACTAAGACATTCAGGTCTACTCGTGCTCCACCAACTCAGAGGGAGAAAAAGACAATAAAATGTATAAACACTATCCTGCCAAAACAATGTAGCAGCTTAAATCTATATGCAGAGGAAGCAACGTTTCATTTTAGAAATTAGTTTATCAGAAACAAATTACGAAATGGCCCGGGCTGTGTTTCTCCACGACACATCATATATCTGTCAACATGCACAGCGGCCCCCACCTTAGAAGGCTGTGTGTTCCCCAGCTCTGCTGGCTTTCTACAGAGTAATCACTGTACACCTCTGGGTACAAACAAGGAACCACACTACATCCTCCAGCTTGCATTTCAGGCTGCTAAACCGAAGCCAGCGGGCAGGAATGGAACACAAACAAAAGCTGAATCCTGCTTTAAATGCGTCCACTGCGTTGCTTGTTTCATTTTTCCTCTATCATGCCACTAGATCACTGACCATTATTGAACTGTTACGTAAGGTGCTATTGGAGAAACATTACTGCATAGTACTACCTCTGAACTGCAACTGAAGTATTTTACAAAAGGAATTTAGCACTGTAGCACAGCTTAGGAAATCATGATAATGTTTCAAATTGCACTGACTTTTCTCCACAAGTAAATCATGCCTCCATTTTAGAAGCGATTCAAAATAAAATTCTATATATTCCTTTCCCCCTCCCCCCCTTATTAATGTCAGGGGCTTTCCCTCAAAGTCCTTTTGTTTTCAAAATTGACTGCCAGGCTTAAACCCAAGAATATGGACTGAAAAACTACTCTCTTGCGTGAGCGAAGTATTGGAATCATTCCTGATTTTTAAAGCGTGTCGCAAAGCTCTCTGAAGCTCAGGTATACACTGTCTCTCAGGGAGGAAAGCTACCATCAACTCACTGTCCAGATCCATCACCTGAGCTGCCCTTACGAAAGTGTTTGTTACTACTTATGCAAAGCATTTTATGAATCCTAATGTTCTTGTTTTTATCACCTCCTTCTGTTCTCTGTTGTTTTATCCGAATCTGAAGATTGTTCAGGCCACAGAACAGCTGAGATGTCTGTAAATAATGTATATTTTGATTTGCCTAAGGGCTGTCTCCTGTACCTTGTGCATTCTACCTACCTAATGCTGTCAGGAGCACTAAGTGGGATATGTACTACACTGCGATCGCAGAATCATCTCAACATCTGTCTACACTGGAAGAAAAGAAGCACCAAAGCAGGAAGTTGAGTGAAACCTTGCAGGGTGTAAATACAGCACACTGAAACAAGTAGCTGAAATAATACTGAGTTGTAAAAGCAAGATAATTATATGTAAAATAGCCTGAGAAGGAAGAACCTGCAAAATCAAATCACCATACCTGTGGTCACACGGACGGATTTCTCCATGTGAGGAAAGAATCAAACATCAATCTGATAAGGAGAAAACCTTCCTGGTTAGAACACTTGTCCAGAAGAGGACTTGTTAGTGTAGTACTACTAAACAAAATTCATTATCTAGAGTATTAAAAATTAAATATCAAGATTATTCAACCTGAGTGCTAGTTTCATTTCCTAATTAAAGCAGCCTAAGATTTTGATCATTCAGAAATACTTTAGTAAGGCTATCCGCTACTTTCTAATCATTACTCAAACCCTTAGCTTTAATGCATCAACTTAAAATGCCAGTCAATTAAAGACAATTTATGTTCAATGCGTTAGAAGATTAAAAAAAAATCTTCTGTGGCACAAAAACTCAGGTAAAAAATAAATGAGAACAGAAAAAGAATTTGTCCCCACATAGTGTAAGAAGTTA